GATTGTATTTAGGGACATGCATGCTTATTGCTTTCAATATCATTTTAATCCAAATGTTCTGTCCAATATCTGTAGGCCAAATTGAAGAACCAAAAAGTTGTTCTGGTGGCAATCATAACTTCAATTACAGCCTTCATGTCTTCTAGTAGTATGCAAATGAAGGACTTCATTCATCAAATTTTGTTGGATACAGGTTTTTGCAGGTTTCATCATAGCTAACCTTTCAGACAAGTTATCGGATAAAGCAGCAGAGTTGTAATGTAGCAGTGACATGTAAATTTCTATGTTGTAATCTGACAATAATAATAATCTCAACAAACCAAACGCAAAGTTTAATTAGTAACTTTCATAAATTTCATAACCACAGATATGTTTGTATATATTGGTTGCTATTCTTAACAACTGTGGAATTCATTCCTATACTGGTCTCACAAATTCAGTTTTCACACTGTAGTTATATTTTGAGTTCGGCAAATATTGTCACTTTAAAAAATTATTTATAAATAATTTATAAGGATTTATTAACGGCAATTTAGTTCGAGTTGGCACTGCCTGAAGAAAAAAAGACCAAAACGTGACTACTTGTTTGTCAATGCTTCGCACAAATATTTTTCACAGTAATTTATTAAAAATATAAATTTATTATTTTTAACTAATTATTTTAAAGAAATTTTTAATCTATGATCTTAAGGCACAAGTAAAAATCTTTCTTTGGATCTAACTAACAATAATTAATTTGGACCAAATTTTGAGTTAAAAAGAAATACAATTATTTTTTTGATAAAAAAAACAATTATTTTAAGATAAAAAAAGTAATTATTTGTCGATATAATTTTGAGAATATGATAAACACCAAAAATAAAATTGGGAGAGATTGCCTCACTGGAACATTGCTCCTAAAGCATTTTAGGATCTTTCTACACAATTGTTTGCCATCATCTATCCATTTCAGTTTGGAACAAACGAAAGAGAATACAATACAAAACATACTTGCACACACACATATAGAAATATTTTTGAAATACCAAGATTGCCTCTTAAAATATTTAAATACTCTTAATTAATCAACATATAAAGAAGATTTATTAAGAGTATTTAAATAATTTTATAGACAATTATGATATTTTAAGTACTAGGGCATTCTAATTTTCACACACATATATACAGAGCTTCCTGTCAAACTAAATACTAGACACAAAAGCTATTCAATACTCCAAAATCTAAAATTAAACTCAATACATGTTCAGACCTTAATTTGAAGCTGGAAATGTACTACTATTAGCAAGGGACTCATCACTAAAAGGATGGAAGGAACTTCCCTTAGATGCCTCCTCATAACTTGCTGAACTTGTGGGTGTCTCGACGTTGGGATTCATCCCAGCAATTTGCATGATGTTTTCAAGCGCTTTTACAACTTCACCCATTTTAGGCCTGTCAACTCCTGATTCTTCCACACAGCTAATTGCTAGGTCCACAAACTTTTCTAAACCTTTCAAGCTTGTATCCAGAATGGCTGGGTCAAGAATCTGATGTAGACTATACAAGTCTTTTGCCTTATCCATTGCCATTTTCACCTCTTTTACAATATACTTCCCTCGCTCTATTGGTTTTTTTGCAGTTATTAGCTCCAACAAAAGCACCCCAAAACTATAAACATCACTCTTTTCTGTTAGCTGCTGGGTCATATAATATTCAGGATCCATGTAACCCTACACAAATAACAAAAACCATAGGCATGATGAAATTTTTCTAGCATGGTAAAGAATCATCACTAAACTAAAGCTTTCTTTTTTCTTCCTCATAAATTTTTTATACTCAAAAATTTCAAAAATGTTTAGCTTGTATACAATTCTAAATCTTTGAAGTGAGCTAATATAGAATCTAAAATGTGAATATACTTTATGTAACTAATGGATCTAAGCTAATGAAATATGGTCGAATAACTTTTATCATTGACTCATTCTAGAGAACCTCTTAATTAAACATCATGCTACTATTATCTATAAAGGCAAACATTATTAATCACATATAAGCTTTGTTGCATCTTTTTTATGATCAGCAAAAACCTTTGTTGCTTCCTAATCCCCATTATTTATGTGGAAGACAAGAAATCTTTCTTATCACACAGAAGTGGGTGTACAAAAGCACTCACCATTGTACCTTTGACTTGAGTGGTAACATGACCTTTTTCACTGTCATCTATAGGCTTGGAAAGGCCAAAATCGGCAACTTTAGCAGTAAGGTGTTGATCCAATAATATGTTAGCTGATTTAATGTCCCTATGTATGATGGGAGGATTGGCAAGTTCATGCAGATATGCCAGGCCTCTAGCTGCACCAAGGGCTACCTTGAGTCGCCTAGTCCAATCCAATTTGATTCCTGACTTTCCTACAAACATCATGTAACAATAGTATATATAAATTATAAAAATATGTCTTGTCTAACTTGTTAAGTAATTCATGTTGGGTCAATAATGTAAGAAATGGAGAAACATACCTGATAAAGTTTCATACAAGGTGCCGTTTGGAACAAATTCATATATTAGCATTTGTTCATGTCGTTCAAAACAAAATCCTAATAGACTAACAACATTTTTATGATGGACTCTAGATAAAAGTTCAATCTCTGTTTTGAATTCCAACGAACCCTGCATTGATCCTTGTTGGGCTCGTTTGATTGCAATTAGCTGTCCATTGGGAAGAGTGCCCCTATAAACCTATAATTGATTGACGATTGAAAGTTTAAGAATCATATGACATAGATAACAATTGAAGACAAACATATGAATTAGAGAAAAGGAACGGCAATGTTGAAGTTGTTTTGGCAATAACCTACTATATTTACAAAAGTTTGAAGTTGACTTGATTATATTAATCATATTATGTTCATGATATACTTAGTAGCATAGCATTGATTACGCTGCATGTATAGTTTCATTCTACTGAGACTTATGATATTATATGCATCTACTTATTTAATTATATATAAAAATCATACAAAAAGGTTATTCACATATCATTACCCTCATTTTTAATACAATTTTCCAACTAAAACTGCTAATTGGTGCTATTCTTTTATAATAAGCCTCTAAAAATAGTTTTTACTAGCAAATAAGCCCTTAATGAATCCTTGGTGGCAAATCCATGCTTGTACTTACAAATAGCAGCAAATCTCCTCGAAGTTGGTGGACATTGTTGCTTAATGCCTATCACACCACATCTTATAAATTATAATTTGACCAATATTGACTAACAATTTCCATCACTTTGGAGATATTTGTTGCTATTGGTAAGTTCAAGGGTGGTTAGCCACAAATGTTTCATCAAGGGCTTATTTTTTGTGAAAATTATTTTTGGAAAGGGTTAATTTGCCTATTATTCCTTCTTCTATTACACTGCTCCCTCCATTTCAGATTAATTGTCTTTCTTTTAAAAAAAATATTTTAAAGAAGATAAATTTGTTTTCTCACTTTAACCTTGTCATTAATCTTGACTTTAATCTCCATCCTATCATAAAAAATACCCATTACCTTTATTTTTTTGAAGGGTTATATAGGAAAAAATATAAATTATCCCCAAATTTGAAGATAAAATAATTTCAATTATTTTGAGATAGAAGGAGTAATTTTTTTCAAGTAGTGAAAGCAAAGCACAAGAAGTTTTGCATTATCAGTGTACTTTGAGAGAAGGTGTTATTTGTTGGTTTGCACAAATACTTATGGAATATGAGCCAACATTTTAAATATATGGTGACTGTGTGGTGTAGAACCAAGAGAAAGCGAAGCAAAGGTGAGATGAGAAGCAAAATATATATATATATATATATTTTTTGAAAAATATTTTCAATTCATCAAGTCCAATTGATGTTCTAACAAGACTACCTATAAGGTATAAAACCACAAGCCAAAACTCCAAACTAAATAAGAAAACAACCTCTTGAAATTATAAAACAAACTAAATAAGTTCAAGGTACTAAACTAGAACTTGAACCTCTTACAAAGATAAAACCTCAAAGTTTGAAGTGATACCCCATTATTGTGTCAACTATTCTTTACACCTTAAATATGTAATCAAACACATGTTTTGTATTCTTCAAGTCATATATGTAGAAAGAGAAATGTGTGTTACACCACCATGTAGCAATAAATTGAAGAAAGGCATATCACGAAGTTCTAAGCGGCAAAACAACTGTTTTGCAACCCTAAATCAGTGGCTCTGTATATGCATATAAGATTGTTATATATGTTCATATCTATTGTAACTAAGATCAATACATGCATGTTGTAAAATTATCACAAAAAATGCAAAAGAGTTAGTAGCACAATTTTGTTTAAGAGAAAATCATCATTTCACTTTTAAGGAGAGAGAAGGAGAAGTACCTTTCCATAACCTCCGGATCCAATATCGTTGGCATCTGAAAAGTTATTTGTATATTTCTTAAGCTCCTCAAATGAAAAACATCTTACACCTCTTAATTGAGGAATGCTACCGCTGTCTTTCTTGACATTCCAGTATTTTGCATTTGTACCTCAAAATTCAGAAAATGGATTCAGAAATTAACTATAGTATATAAACTAGATAATATCCATGCCTTAAACATAAATGTTACAATGAAATAACTTGAATTTTTAATTTTTATAAATATTAGAGCACCTATTCACACCAAATCATTATAATTCATATTATTTTATTCAACCCATCAATTGAGACTCTAAGATCTACTCTTCTCTCCAATGCATAGAACTAATTTACCAAAAAAAGGTTAAATAACCAAAACAGTCCTTCAACTTTCAGCTTTATGAAAAAGAATAGTCCTTGATCTTTGAAAAGTACTGAAATGATCCTTGAGCTTGCCTTTTTGGTACCAATTTGGTCATTCCGCGTTAAATCGCCAGAAATTCATTCTTTTTTTCAAAAAAACTAATGACGTAGGAAGAAAAAAAAAAAAAAAAGGTTATCAACCTAAATAAAATTACCAAATTTAAATCCAGAGCATCTCTCAATCATTTTCCATTTAAAAAAGTTATCAACCTAAATAATTGAGGACCCACATCACTATTTAAACTAGGTTATCTACCTAAATAATTGAGTAATTAAGCATTGATTAATTTTAATTGAAGACTTAAATATACATTAAATCCATAGCAACCATTTAATTATCTTTATAAATATAAATGAATAAAAATGGAAATTCTACTGGGATTTCTCACTCCAATTTTCCTTCAACTTCCCAAGAACCAAAGCAACAAAAATTCTTCTCATCCAAATTAATCCCAAATCCCATCGCTTTGAACTGTCAAACCCACTACAAAACCTCTAACATGTACCACTGTTGGCCAGTAGAGTTTATATGCAATCAACTTGAATATGCTACAGTAATAAATGCTAATCATACCAAAAGGGTTGCTCTCTATACTTGCTCTTTCTGCCTTCTTCTTTTGACGAAGAGCATAAATCCCAGCAAGAAGTAAAAGTAGCAGAAGTACAGAGCCACCACCAGCTGCTCCAATAATGATGCCAATGGTTGATTTTTTGGAGTTTTTAGGTTCATCTGAAGAAGTCACATATGAGCATAAAAAGCGTGGAGTAACGTCAAATAAAGCTAAATTTTACGGTTCTATAATAATTGTGTAAATACCTGAAAAGTAGTTGTAAACATCACCATTGAAAAAATAAGATCCATAAAGAGTATATGGTGGTGGTGGTGGGAAATAAGACGAGCTGCTAAATGCATATGCAATCATAGAAACTCCTGTTCGATTGAAACTAGCTTGGCCGTATGGAAAGACACTAAGGTTCAATAGAAGAAATTTAGAAGAATCCATTCTTGGATTACTTAGTGAAACTGAATCAACAGGAAATTGATTGGACTTGAAGAACTGCATCAAAGAATCCTGTAGAGCACTATATGTGGTTTGGTTCTCCAAGTCTGAGAAGAAAATTACTCTAAAATATAGAGTTCCTGTATATGGATGTGCACACATGCATTTGGGGCTATAAACCTGGTCTGAACTACATGTAGGAGGCGGGCAGTTGGAGAGAGGGGTAGTAAACAAGGATGTGGAATTTGATTGTGGTGGTTGTCCACAGTAATTTTTTGTTCTTCCTGTCTCTTGACAAAAGGGGTTACCAGCAAGTCTGCACAAATTAATAAAATTCAGTGAGCAAAGAAAGACATTTGGAAGCTTTAACACTTAAACAAGATACGTTTAAAGGCAATTTGACCTCCAAGTAATAAGAGCCAAGATCTTAAGCAAAAACAAATTAATGGAGAAAAAAAACCCAGAAGAAATGATTCTCTCACTTTATCTTAATGTTTTGTGCTCCTGTTTCCTTGAAGTCAGTAATGTCATTATTCTGCAAATCTACGAGCCTCAGCTGGTTGCTAAATTTCGTGCCTATATACAAAGTGCCATTTAACTGGTTGTCTTTTAGTTCTCTGTACAAGGTGACAAAGATAGAAATAATTAGCCTCCAGTTATCATCTCCATGGTTTGGATCAAGAGGATCTGTTTCACCATAGTTATGAACATCCATGACAAGGAATGGTAGTGCCTGAAATGAAGCTGATACTCACATAGTCTGCAAATTTGGAAGGCTGAAAAGGTCCGTGCGAACTCGACCTTGAAGATGAGTGTTTTCCATCCTCCTGCCTTGCAAAGAAATCAATTGTTCTTTTAACTAGATAGGGAACCCATCAATGTGTATGCATTTAGGCATATGGGCATGTGTCCATGAACACGCAGAAAACAAAGTAATAGGGCAAGGAAGAGAGGGAAGGAAAGAGGGGGCAGCAAAGAAAACATTCAGAGATTGATTTATTATGCCATTTGCTAGCCTGATTTTTACACATCTCATCGCCGCTAACAGTATCATTGGGGATGGAAAGATATTCTGGGCGATGCTTTGACAAAACATATAGCCGTCAGTGAAGTGTGACGTTCAAAGGAAATATTTGGCTTTAAACTAGAGAGAGTGATGCAGATAAGGAAAAAAAATATTTATTAAGAGTTTATCTTTCAATAAAGATTCGTATTAAGAGTCTAATTAGTTATTAAGTCTAATTAGAATTGAAAGTCTTCCAGAAATTCCCAATTCTAT